TTTTTTTTGCATGTGCGTCCAAGTGGATCTCTGCCACGTGGATGGGCTCCACTCTCCGGTCTCTACGTCTTGCTGATGTGTCCACCGACTCCACTCTCTAATAGTCTCTTTTTTTTTTGCATGTGCGTCCAAGTGGATCTCTGCCACGTGGATGGGCTCCACTCTCNGTGTCCACCGACTCCACTCTCTAATAGTCTCTTTTTTTTTTGCATGTGCGTCCAAGTGGATCTCTGCCACGTGGATGGGCTCCACTCTCAAGTCTAAGTGGATCTCTCGACTCTCCAGGTAGAGCTCTACGGAGTAGTACGGACCATTGAGGGGGGCCCGATAATAAATTGGTAATCATAATAAATAATTAATAAGTACAATTTATCAGTAATAAAATTTAATGAATATATAAATTTGTGATGTTATGAACTTAATACGAGTATTAAATTATTAATTAATGACTGCATTTAACAGAGTTCCAGTGGATCTGATTTCCAAAAATCAACTGCCAGTTGGCGGTCACTTCCATCCCTCGTGTTTTCATTAATCGTGTAGAAGGAAATGTATTTTTTTTTTTTTTTTTTCGACTTTTTAAACTCGTTTTCAGTCTTTGAGGAACCCAATGCGTCACATGCGTGTTTGGGCTGTAACCGTGTACTAAGCCTTTTATTTTATTTCTGCCCCCCCTCCCATCTGTGCAACGCTGCTGACTGACTCCCTGGTGGTGAATGGTTTGCAGCTGAAACTGAAGGCCACCGTCAAACTTTTTCAGCCGTATCTGACAGGAAGTTCAGTGAAATACATCCCGGAAAGTCCTTCCGGCTGAGAAGCTGGGCCCGGCCCGCTGGGGGATGATTACAAGTGTTGGAGTTCGTCACCGCGGTGACAGCACTGACAGGGACCTCTCAAGTTTTTAAGTCTGCAGCTGAAAGAGTTTTGGCTGTATTGTTCACACTTTTTTGAAGTTTTTTCGTGAGTATCTGGCCGGGATTTGAGTCAGTTACGTAGCGGAAAGTCCTTGTGTGAGAATGCCCCCAAGGTACCAAGAACCCAACTGTTACACAAGTTTCAAGCTGAAATTGTGAAGTGCAGGAGAAGAAGAAGCAGATGCAGATATGGCGGCTGTAAAGAAGATGCAGCTGGAGATTGAAAGGACCCTGAAGAAGGTTCAGGAGGGGTCGGATGTGTTCCAAGCCACATGGGAGAAAATGAATCAAGCAACTGAGGTACACACCCTCTATCATGCCTGATATTTTTCCATTCCATAACTCTATTAAATTCCATTAAATTAAATAATATTGTTACCAATTATTTTAGTTAATTAAAATTTAATTAATTAAATAATAAATACCAGATAATAACAAGGATTGTTGTTTTGTTCGTAAGTGCAGACTCGCAGTTGTATTTCCTGAAAGTATACAGGCAGCAGCTACGTCCAGATCCAGTTGAGAAAGGCCGATGGCCCGATGTATTCCAGGCCACATCGGAGAAAATGAACCAAACAAGTGGAAGCATCTGAGGTACTTACCATTGGTCGGAAATTATATGTTTTCCGTAATTAAAACTATTACATGAAGCCGCGCAAGGGCCAGGTGGTCCCTGAACAAAAAAAAAAAAAAAAAAAAAAAAAAAAAAAAAATTAAAAAAAAAAAAAAAAAAAGAACTATTTTTCTAGGCTACCAGCCGGGCCGCCCAGCTCCCGGGTGGGCAGCCCGTGCAAGGATCAGGTAAGGTCCCAGCAAAAAAACAAAAAAAAAAAAAAAAAAAAAAAAAAAAAAAACTATGTTGCGCAGAAAAATAAACTGAACATTTTTCACCTCAGGGTCACATCGAAATTATTTTCCAAAGTGAAAATAAAAGATACCTTCTTTTCTTTTTTTCAATGGGAAACTATGCTGGAATCACAAAAGGAGTTTGAAAATACACTTTGGGCACAAAAAAAAGGTTTCAAATTGCAGTTCGGGCAATGTATACAAGCTAGCTTTCCAGTCAGGTAGGGTTAAGTGGGGGTGTGTTGTGTTTGGGGGAATGCGCAAAGTATAATTTCAAACTGTTTTAGAATTTGTGACTGTACTGAAGTTACCCCTTTTTTTTAATTTCATTTTTAGCCCAGCTGGGCAAGCGGTCCGTGCCACTCCGGTAATGTAGGTAAATAATAAATACTTGATAGCAAAGTCCAAGACTCCAAGGGTTATTGTTTGTTCCGAAATTGTTCGTAAGGACAGACTCTGTCTGACAGTGGTACTTTGCTGAACGTATCTGGTGAACGGCTACCGTCTTCACCCGAATAGAATGTCTGGTAATTATAGCTGCATCTGGACTGAAAATTTCACCAGATACGGCTATAATGACCGGGCGTTCTATTCGGGTGAAGACGGTAGTACGCCCAGATCTGGTTACGAAAGTCCTGGCGTGAGTATGATGTGTGATGTGGGAAAGAGCTTGATGTATGAAAAGCACCTACAAGAGGCTACAACCACTAGGACTTCTTGGACTTATCTCTGGACGGAATTGCAGTCAGATGCATCCAGGTCTGGCTGCAGCCGTCAGGAACATTTAGAAAAGTGCTAGTACGAGTATATGCCCCAAGTCAGCTTTATGTCAGTGTGCCTATGAATCCTGGAATCTGGAGTGGAATGTACTTGCACTCTCAGACTGACACTCTGTGCTTTTCTTGATTCTTGAGTGTACCTGGCCACAACTGCGGCCGAAATTCGGTTGACAGAGTCCATTGCAACTGAGTCTCTTTTTTTTCAGTGTATGAATCCTGGATTCCAGATGCGAATTCACTTGCACTCTGTACATTTCTTGAACGTAGCTGGCCTCAATTACGGCCAAATCCGGTCCAGAAAGCTCATGTGTTGTCGTTTTTTTCTGAAGCAGGTGCGAAATAGCTTGCGTGAACAGCACCAAACAAGTTGTAACAACTAGACTTTTTGGGAGGGGAGGAATCCAGAGGCGAATTTACTCAAATAGTAGAGTTAAATTCAAATTTCCCTGAGCGTATATAGCGACAATCATGACCAGATTCAGTACAGACATTCAGTGCTGTAAGTGCATTTCTTGTACGAGTGTGCTCTAAACCGGCTTAGCCAGCCAAAGGCCTAAGCTGGGTGCGAAAGAGCTTCTGCATTCATAAGTTCGGACGCATAAGAAAGAAGGAGCTGAGCTGTTTTGTGATGTCCATACAACAAGCGAAGTTCCCAAAAGGCTTCTGCACTCATGTAATTTACCCTAATGATGCTACCAATGGCTATCATCTTCACCCGAATAGGACGGAGTCAGGCCGTCATTATTGTTGTATCTAGACTGAAAGTTGCCCAAAATACAGCTGTAATGACCGGGGTATTCAATTTGGGTGAAGATGGAAGTGCTGCTGACTGCCGTCTTTCCCTGAACACAACAGATCCTCATCATCAATGTATACAAGCTATCTTTCCGGTCTGATACGGTCATCATGAGCGGTTAATGGGGACCCCCACTTTTCAGCCCAGTTAACCACCTCAACCCTGAAAAGTGCATTGGCGATTATTATTTTTTTGTTTTTTGAACTTTTTTCCTGTTTTTTATTTTGCCCTGTTTTATTTTTGGTCAAGGTCTGTGTGTGCCAAGTTTGGTATTTGTTGGGGTCTTCGAGTTTGACTGTTTTGGCTTGCCCTGAAAAATCCTGAAAATCCTGAAAGCTGAAAAGAGTGAGTTTTGCATGAAAACACACTTTTGACTTGGGGGATTAAAGCCCCTTTTATTATTTTTTTCAGTTTTTTTTTTTTTTTCTGCTGTTGGTTTATTTAGTGTCCACTGTCCACTCTATGTACTGGTGACAAGTCTGCCTTCAAAGGTGTGGGACGTTTGTTATAATGACCCTGAAAAAATCCTGAAATTTTGGGGCTCTGTTAACTGCCTCTCGTCTTCGGAGGAAGCTGGTAGCTGATACACATCGGAGTCGGGGTCGGGGTCAGGGTCGGGGTCTCTCGGCAGCTCCCATCTGTTGTCTGAAGGGTCAAAGTTGTCAAACTATGTATTTTCCCTTCTCTAGAATTTGCATGGGTGTCAGTTTTGCTTTAAATGCTTTTGACTATGTATGAGTACATTGTGTGTGAGTGCATCTGGACCGGATCTGGCGACTGGCTGGCTTTATGTGTTGCATGTTCAACGACCGCGCTCAGGTGAGGTGAGGTAGAACCCACACTTCCATTTGAAAGTTGCTTTGTGTATCATCATGCTTCCACGAAACAGTCTGTCTGTCCCAGCCCCTCGTTTATTGTCCGCTGCTCCCTCTCTGCCTACCGTTTAGTGGGCAGTTCTGTATGATAAAATCATGTCAAAATGTAAATGGACATTATATATTGATACGGAACGGTTACTGTCTGACGACGCCAGACTGGTGACTGACCAGTACTAGAAAGTTACTGAAAACCAGTTGGGTCATTTTGCCAGTTTGACTGTGCGGCGTGCACTGTTGTTAACGATGTTCTTACATGCCGCGTAACACGCGCCACCTGCGCTCAGATGTATCAGACTATATGTCTCTTCCGTGCCATGTGGTCGTGTGATCTCATGATGTGTCATCGTTGTGCTTTTTAGCACTTGTTGCTCTCCTACCTTCTTTGGTGTCGGACTCCTCCTCTCCCGCTCTGCCTACGGTTCACCGGGCTGTTCTCTGTGACGATACATGTATGTTTTATCATATTATGTATATCGGAAATTTATTAATAATCTCTGATTATCTCTCCCTATCAAAAAAAAATGATGATGGCAACCTGACCGTTGGATTCCTTTGCAGGCATCCAAGAAAGAGAAGTATGAGGCTGAGTTGAAAAAGGATTTGAAGAAACTGCAGAGGTGACGTCATTGATATTCCCCTCTTCTCTTTCTCACTTCTCAACACCGCCAATGTCTTTCTGGCATGTGAGTAGCACCTGCAGTCAGACTCTGGAGAAGTACATGTTATCTCCGATATCTCGTGCTACACCCCCTTATGATGAAGAGTGGCAACATACTTTCCGGCCACTTGTTATCTTGTGCAACAGTTAGTTTTTTTATCTTGTGCTACACCCCCTTAAAAAGCTTCAAGCCACCGCCGGCGCTCCGTAGTACTCCATAAGTGGCTGCACGGGCGGGTGGTGGCCTGAAGCTTGTGAAGGTACTTAATCCACTAGTACGTGGCCCCAGCCTTGCAGTCCGAAACTTGTCGCCACAAGAAAACGAGGCCGGAACGTCAAACGCTGGGCCCGCCGTTGATAAATTGGATTGGCGGTCGTGTTTTCGTTTCGCGCTGCCAGAATTCGAGGTGTCAGGCCCGCGGCCTAGGTGCCCATGTACTGGTGCTTCGGTTCTTTTAGAGAAATTTCTCTGGACAGCTACGTTTTACTTGTCTTGTCGAAGTTGTCGTATCATCGTATGTACTTTTGAAAACGAATTTCCTTGTGTTATTTTGTGTGTTTATTTTCGTCAGAATCGTCAGTTAAACCCTGTAACAGTTCCTTAAATGTGTATCAAGGAGATGACAAGTGCAGGCTTTTGCAGCTGCTGTAGTTTTTAAGGAGTTTGGTGCAGAATATGACTTCCTGATGTGACGAGACATCTGAGTCGGTCTTAGTGCATGAAGCACCCTTCTTCCCTCTCATTTCCAAAATCAAGTGTTCTCCTTGTGACCTGCATGTTGAAGAGGAAACTGCAAACCGTAAACGGGCCGGGCTACCGGGATAAACCCTAAACCCTAAACCAAAATTTGTCTCTCCTTAAACCACCAGTACTTGGCCCATACATCGGCCGCAGGCGTTTCCTGTTGATGCGCCGCGACTGATGGGCTTCGGCCTACCGGACCGCTATGGCTGGAGGCGCCAGCCAAAAGAAAGTCGAAACGGTGCGGCGGCGGCTCGGCAAAACTTGGCGCGCAGGGCATATCCAGGCTCGGGATCAATAGCTGGGCCAAGTACTGGTGGTTTAATTCTGATTCTCCACCTCTTTCCTTTTTTAGCTTCATGTTCAGGAAGAAAATCCCCAGACCCTAAACCGCATAAACCATAAACCTTAACCATGGCTACGCCGGACAAGTCCCCGTACCAGATCACAACGCGGGACTGGCTGGTCAGTGGTCAGTAGTCAGATCGAGTTGCCCAGATATCCAGAAATTTCCGGAAGTTTGAATCACCCATCCAGATGGCAATTATTTTCTGGAAAGTAAAGAAAAAAAAAATGTTCTAAGGTTCAAACAATGACAAACATGACCTGATGGAGTCGGATGGATGTATCATGGGTGGGTGGATGGACAATGATTAATAGGTGGACGGATGGATGAATGGATGAAGGGTGTTGAATCAACGGACGGTGATGGATGGATGTGGATGGATGGAAGGATGGTGTTTGGATGGATAGATGGATGGATGGATGGTTGGAAGGATGTTGATGAATGTGAATGGATGTTGATGGATGGATGGATGGATGGAGGGTGATTGTGGGGGTGTCACCCAATCTTTGGCTGCTCATGAGCGGTTTCCCCCAAGTGTTGGCTACCCATGGGGGGTTTCCCCCAATTGTTTCCCCGCTATTGACATACGCCGCGGCCTCACGGCTATGTGAGACTAAAAATAAAAAATGAAGAAACGCCCGTCACGCTGCAACGTGGTCCACTGGCTGCGTCTGGATGCCTCCCTGGCGTGATCCAGACAGTAGGATGGGACACCCAATTCCCGTCCGTCCACCGGACTCCACATCATTGTCCAGGTGTCAGATGGTAGCCCTGCTTTAAACCCTTAAGAGCCTAAATTTTGGACCCCATTGGTAATCATCCTCCACTGAACGCAGCATCGCATCGCATCGAACTTGGACAGACAGCTTGCTTATATTCATGAATCACAATTATCGGGCGTAAGGGTTTGCGGGGACTCGGAAGGCGGTAGTTTCGAAAGGGTGGTTTAGGATGGCTGCATTTGCCAGCTAAGCCCAGCTTTGATGCCCTTCTTCGCCAGTGCTTTCCCAGAGGCGTGGGCACAAAGTTTGAGAATGTGAAGCAGGCTTGAGGGTCATGGGTTGAGTGTTATTGCAGAAGTTACTGTAGTAAATTGGTAGATTGTAGAGTCTTTAGACATAGCTTGGCTAGGCCAGGCTAGCCTAACTCGAGTCAACTTTGGTGTCAAGTCTGTCGACCAAGGCACATTAGCGGAATTTCCCAGTCTCACAATCGGATATAATGAAAGCTTTAGACGCAAGATACACTGTGAGCAGTGTGAGGTACATGACAATTTGAAAAATTTAAAGTCATTGCGACTGTTCTCTGTAACTTTCTTGTAGTTTGGTTTGACCGTTTCTCATTTGTTACCGATCTCACTGACCATAGTGATCGACTGTGTCAATAGATTACTAATTTCAAGTAATTTGTTAAACGGAACTTAAACCACTAGAGTGACTAGACTGTATACATCCGCAGGCGGCACGATAGATTTCGCTCGTACACGAGTACAGCCCTGTATGGGGCCAAAATTGATATTGCCCAGGCCGCCCTTATGGGCTGGGCTACACACGTGCTACAATGGCAATGACAATAGGAAGCAAGGCTTTAAGGCGGAGCGAATCCTGAAACATTGCCTCGGTTCGGATTGTTATCCGCAACCCCCAGTGGAGGCCCGGTGGGAAGAAGCAACTGTAGATTTTTTTCAAAGGATGGTGCTGTAGATTCTAGGCTCGGGAAAAAAAAAGCAATTTTTGGTTCGTCAATTTAGCTTCAGATGGATCGGTGGTTTAATTGGCATTGCAGATTTGCTCATCAAGGACTGGATTATCATACGTCAGGAACGACGTCCAACTAGGGACGAAGATTGAATTGAATGCTTGAATCTGGATATGTTTGTGGAGAGGTGCAGATCGATCCTTTTCTGCATCTCTGCTTAAAACCCATACACATTCAGGAGCTTAATCCAATCCTCTTTGCGAGTGAGACCTCTTACCAGGCAGTCGTCAGGATAAATAATTGATCACACATGGTTTTTTTTTTTTTGGGGGGGGGGGGGAAGTCAGGATGATGAACACCTGTCCTTCGGTACATCCGTTAAAATTGGAACGATATAGAGAAGATTAGCATGGTCCCTGTGCAAGGATGACATGCATAAATCGAGAAATGGTCCAAAGACTCCAAACCCAAAAAAGAAAAAGAAAAAGAAAAAGAAAAAGAAGAAGGATGACAAATGCCTCATTGGTTTGATTTAGTCACACATTGAACTTAGTGCATTTGATGGATTCTGAATCTCTGATCATTCTGGAACTTCTTTTATTCTTTCTTTGACAAAAAGCTCCATTCTAATTCTGGACGCTACTTTTTCTGTGCAGGTATCAGGTTGCAACCGTTGCATTGATTTTGTTATACTTTTAGTAATTCCTTATGTAAATAGTACTGGTGTATTATAAATCTTATCTATGCAGGTATCGCGATCAGATTCGGTCGTGGTTGGCGTCGCCAGATGCAAGGGCATGGACAGAGTCACTCAGGGCGGCCAGAAAACAAATCGAGTCAGAGATGGAGCGATTCAAAGTATGTGTTGTAACGAGATGTCGTTTCGCCTCCTGGAAACAACATTTCCCGTTTGACCGCTACTTGAGTTTAAGAAATTCTTTCCCAAAAAACTGATTGAATGTTCAGGCCGATTCAAAGTATGGCAATAGCATTTCCCGTTTGACCGCTAATTGAGCTTAAGAAATTCTTTCCCAAGAAACTGATTGAATGTTCAGGGTTATTTCTCTGGTATCCTCTCTGGTGGTAGTGGTGGGTTGGGGGGAGCACACACACACACACACACACACACACACACACACACACACACACACACACACACACACACACACACACACACAGAGAGAGAGAGAGAGAGATCTGATCACAGAGGGTACATTGAGATGTCGAGTTAACAACGTTTAAGTCTTGATTGCATTTCGATGAAACAGCATAGCATCAACCCCTAGTACGCGCTTCAACCGGTCGCCGGTCGGCAGTCACTGCACAGGTCTCATCAGGGGGTGTACTCTTCAAATCCTCACCTTTCAGCCCCATCTCCTCAGGTATTAATTTAACAGTATCAGGAATTCGCAGCTAGATTGTTATGCGTTTTTCTCAAATTTTCTGACTTTTTCAGCTTATATTGGCTTAGTACATTGCTTTGCTCACGCATCATGTGACTGATGTGCCGACAGGTGTGCGAACGCGCATCCAAGATCAAGGCATTCTCGAAGGAGGGGCTTGTGAAACAGGTAATTAAGTAAGCCAAACAAAGAAAGGGCTTAAAAAAGAGAGAAACAGGTAATTGCCAATTAGTAATTCTTTTGACCAGCTTGCATCAAGCCTTCTTTGACGTTCTTTTTTCCGAAAGTTCCCCTTCTCCCCCCCCCCCCTGGGTACTGGTCAAGCCTTAAGAGCTAGGGTCATTCACTTGTCCTTGTTAATGGTTGCACTCAGGTGGGAGTATGAACACAGTCCCACCAACTTGAAAATGTATTGTTTTGTTGGGGAACTTATTTGTACATATGTTATGAACTTCTTATTCGAAGATTCTAAGGGCCTCGCTCCACTGCACATCATTTGAAACGTATCTGGACCTGTGCGGGTCCCAATACATTTAAAACACTGGACAAGGCTGAACGTATCTGGTCCATACTGCATTCCAGCTACATGTCAAATGTTTGGAACTGGATGAAGATTTGTGCGTACGAGTGACTCTCCCATGTCTTAGGGTTGCCCACGTGGTCACAATCATTCCTCCCTGTTTTTTTTTCGTTTTTTTTTGTTTTGCAAAGCACCTGTTGCATTTTGGAGTGTGAAGTTCAACGCAGTCCACACACTGTTCAAGTTGCTGAATATTACGGAGTCCAAAAATATGGAGTCCCGTTCCACTCCACAACATTGTACATGTATCTGGAACATGACATTTTCCCCAATCCATTAAAAAAAGAACGGAATGTATCCGGTGCGAATCACTGTCCAGCTACGTGTCGAATGTTGAGTAGTGGAGTGAGGCCCATTGTCTTGCTTTCAGGTCATATGCACACTAGCACTTCAGTAAGTGTATCTGGCTCTGCAATTATGGCCAGAAATGGAATGCATCTGACCGCAGTCGCAGCGATTGCTCTTCTTTTTCCTGTTTCTGCCCCTTGCTGTTCTTTTCTTTTCCATAATTTTTCTTGCTTTTATAGTCCCATGTCTTGCTCTTTGCTTTTTAAAATAGCTACGCTACGGCCACATTATACTTTCGAGTTTGGACGTGCACTTGAAACTTTGTTTTGCAGTCTTGGCGTGGCCAGAGTTTTAAATGCAGTTTTGCCGCAGGCGGCACAGGGTTTTCGGCAGAGATCTTCGTGAAGTTGTGTCAGAGGCCATGTCGGACCTGGGCGAAGCCCAAGGGCCCAGGCCTCACCTTTTTGGGAAACAATGGCCTCAGGCTGCCCTGGTCCTTGGGCCTGGGCCGTGCTCAAGATGGCGTTTGACAAAACTGTGGAAAGGGTCGCTGCGACGCTGTCTGAGTTTCTTTTGCATTAAACCGCCAGTACTTCCGAAAGTTGTGCGACATGCTGGGATGAATGGGTCTGGAGTCCTGGCAAACATTCATTCACGTGGAAACGTCTCGGCATTGTAGCACCGGCTGGTGTGCATGCGGCCCTCTCGAACGTACTGGTGGTCCAAAAACTTGGGTCGAAGCAAGAGAACTGTCAATCGAAAATTGATTTTTGACTAGGCGGTAGTTACCTCACATGATTTTCTTTTCCCACCTTTCTCTTTTTCTTTTGTTTTCCCCTTGGCCTTCTGTTTCGTTTTCTCCCTCCTTGGTCACAACGGTCCAGACTCCCACAAAGGAAAAGCAGCCCTTGCAATTGCAGTGGTCGAGATGTTTTCACAACTTTTCAGGGTATACTCACTTTAGGACTTTTTCATCTCAGCTGTGCACATTATTGTGGTCAGATGCATCCTGACCCGGTCACAAATGCAGTCAGATTCATCTAGGAAGGTCCTGGTGTGAGTATGCCCTCAGCAGCTAAGTGAATCTGCATATCTAGCGCCCCAACAGCTGAGGTTACAGGATGGCGCTACCCATCCCAGCATGAGGCTGACGTCCTCCTCCGAGTCCATCGTGCAAGCACGGATTCGAACCGGCGACGTCGGCCTCAAGAGCCAGGTATCTTAATCACTACAGCCAGGACGGCCGTGATATCCACCCCACCCCTGCAAGGCTGTAGTATGTATTGCGTCTTTTTGTTTGTGACAGTTGTGAAGGTCTGGTTTTCTTGCTGTGTGATCTCACGCATAAGTATTGTTAATATGAAAATTTTGCTTCCTCGCACAGGTCAAACTGGACCCAAGCGAACAGCAAAAGCATGAGGCTGCAGCATTTCTAAATCGGGTGTGTCCTCTCTCTCTCTCTCTCTCTCTCTCTCTCTCTCTCTCTCTCTCTCTCTCTCTCTCTCTCT